ATTGTCTCAGAATATAAATAGAACGTTAATCACGTGCACTGATTGACGCACTTCCAGTCAAACTTATTATACTGAAGCGGTAATATCAGTTTAGAAGTAAATATTTCGTAACGTCTGATTTCAGAATACCACACAACCACGAAGATACTTCAAATATTAATACTCTTAAATACACGTTTAGTACTTCTACTTCTGCCTAGTCTTAGATCCGACCTATAGTAGCTCTATACGTGTCACTTTAATAACTGTAACATAAACTGATAACACAATGAGCCGGCACACGAGGATTACGTTATGTCTCATAACTTCATAAAGTTACAAAATGTCAGGTTCTGGTTGGCTGTTGTCATGGTCACGTGACTCTTGCATAATAAGATAAACCACTCTTTATCTCTCATAATGGTTAACCATAGTAACCATAGTAACCATGGTAACCATGGTAAACATGGTGACCATGGTAAAAATAGTAACCATGGTAACCATGGTAAACACGGTATTCAAAAAAAAACATACTATCTAAAGCAGAGATATGAAAAACTTAACAATATTGTTAACAATTACACAAACTATTGCACTTATCTGCTAACAGGTAACAGTAACCATGGTAACACTATAAGGTGATGTATATTGTGAACAGTAACCATGGTAACACTATAAGATGATGTATATTGTGAACGGTAACCATGGTAACACTATAAGGTTATGTATATTGTGAACAGTAACCATGGTAACACTATTAGGCGATATATATTGTGAGCAGTAACCATGGTAACACTATTAGGTGATGTATATTGTGAACGAGGAGAGTATCCTTGAAAAACAGAATGTGTCCGCTATAGTTGGAATATCCTCCTGTGGGTTTACTGTTATCTCTACTGTTAATCTCTTCATTCTCGTGTTCGGGCTTATTGGTGAGTGAATATTTTATTTTAAAAAATACATTTAACATCTTATGGCAAAATTTTAGAATCTTAATCTATGCAAATTTTGGAGTTTGAATCTTTAAATTATTAATCTTTCACAAGGCCAGCCGCGCCAACGCTTTATATAGGTAACAAGTAACCATGATAACAAGTAACCATGGTAACAAGTAAATCATTAACCTGGATAGAACTAGAAGCTGATAGGGAGCTTCCTATTTCCAGTTACCATAGTAACTAGTTACCATGGTTACTAAGTAACACATTGCCCAGGTAACACACTAGTAGTGTATGGAAGTAAGCAGCGCTACATCTTCAAGATGATGGATAGTATGACGGGGCTGTGTCTGGAAACTATTGCCCTGGCTGATATCCTCATCATACTAATGTTCTTCCTTCCAATGTACCTTACTTTAGTAGGAAATAGGTGGTTACTAGGCACTGGAGCCTGCTGGTTTATTGGTAAATACACATTTTAGTTACTTTATTTGTGGTTACTTTACTGGTAACTAGTAACTGGTAACTAGTAACCCTAGCAAGTGGTAACTAGTAACTGGTTACTAGTAACCCTAGTAACTGGTAACTAGTAACTGATAACTAGTAACCCTAGTAACTAGTAACCCTAGCAAGTGGTAACTAGTAACCCTAGCAAGTGGTAACTAGTAACCCTAGTAACCGGTAACTAGTAGCCCTAGTAACTGGTAACTAGTAACTAGTAACCCTAGTAACTGGTAACTAGTAACTGTTTCAGGACACTTCAGAGCAGTCCCCCTTTACACAGAGATACTGGTTACAGCAGCTATGACCGTCAACAGAGCCCTCATATTGGAGAAACCTAATAAAAACAGCAGGAACACGTGCTGGAGCAACAATCTCACCAGGTTACCCGTAGTTACATGTTACTAGGTTACTTAGGTTACCCGTAGTTATATGTTACTAGGTTACTTAGGTTACCCGTAGTTACATGTTACTAGGTTACTTAGGTTACTATAGTGTTGAGTAGTTTTGTTATCGGTAACTATAGTTACTAGTTACCAGGTTACTATAGTTACTACCCTCCTCAGGTCGCTGCTAGTGTTGGGTAGTTTTGTTATAGGATCTATACCTTCCTTCCTATTTCTCATCCTACAGAGTGAAACTTATTTCGACGCTTATTTCCTCTCCTGTGTAACCTCCAAGTACCTTAACAAGGGGCTGGCACTTCTCAACACTGTTGTCATGGTCATATTTGTTATGGTTCCAGTTGGGATTATCTTCTTTGCTAACAGCTACATTTTAGGTAAAGGCCCCTTTTACAAGCTAACTTGATTTTTAAAGAGATTTTTCAAATCAAAATTTGCTTATTTTAATCAAAATTTGCTTATTTTAAGTGCAATAAATATCATATAACAATATCCAATCATCTTACAGTAACCATAGTAACAAGTAACACGTTACAGTAACCATGGTAACACGTAACACGTTACAGTAACCATGATAACAAGTAACACGTTACAATAACCATAGTTACAAGTAACCATAGTAACAAGTAACCATAGAAACAAGTAACACGTTACAATAACCATAGAAACAAGTAACCATAGTAACAAGTAACACATTACAGCAATAGTACTGCAGAGCAACAAGCGAACCAGAACCTCGTCCACCAGAACAGTAACCATTATCCTGACCATCTCCTGGATATTCGTTATATCCTACATTCCCTTTCCTGTCTTTACAGCCCTGCAGTACTACGATCTCATCCATCTTCCTTGGATAGGTGAGTTACTTAGTTACCATGGTTACTAGGAACTATAGAGGCGGTGGTGAGTATTGTGAAAATCAGGAGGGCACAATTTTAAGATCTTTTAAACTTCCTCCCAGATTAAGAGTATTTAAATAACCTCACCTAATCTCACCTAACCTCACCTCACCTCACATCAGGTATTCTGAGTATCTACATAGCCTCAGCTAACCTCATCATAAACCCGGTGGTCTACTTCCTGGTGTCGCCCCGGTTCCGAAGTCAGCTCCGCTGTAACCCCGGGACAGATGTCAGGTGGTCTGTACAAGGGACAGGGGGCAGATCCGGGCCCCATGCTAGTGGCTCTGCTAACGGGGCTGGGGCTGTAGTAACGGACAAGTTGGGGGATACAGCTGTAGTAACGGACAAGTTGGGGGATACAGCTGTAGTAACGGACAAGTTGGGGGATACAGCTGTAGTAACGGACAAGTTGGGGGATACAGCTGTAGTAACGGACAAGTTGGGGGATACAGCTGTAGTAACGGACAAGTTGGGGGATACAGCTGTAGTAACGGACAAGTTGGGGGATACGGCTGTAGGGGCTAACTTCAGTACTGAACTAGGGGGAGAGAATGTTGAAAGCAGTAAAAGGCTGGGGTTAAGTCTGAAGTTAAGGAGAAGTCTTACTGAGGATGAGTCGGATGTTGGTAAAAGTGCGGATAAAGTAGATGTTGGTAAAAGTGCGGATAAAGTAGATGTTGGTAAAAGTGAGGATAAAGTAGATGTTGGTAAAAGTGCGGATAAAGTAGATGTTGGTAAAAGTGAGGATAAAGTAGATGTTGGTAAAAGTGCGGATAAAGTAGATGTTGGTAAAAGTGCGGATAAAGTAGATGTTGGTAAAAGTGCGGATAAAGTAGATGTTGGTAAAAGTGCGGATAAAGTAGATGTTGGTAAAAGTGCGGATAAAGTAGATGTTGGTAAAAGTGCGGATAAAGTAGATGTTGGTAAAAGTGCGGATAAAGTAGATGTTGGTAAAAGTGCGGATAAAGTAAATGTTGGTAAAAGTGCGGATAAAGTAGATGTTGGTAAAAGTGCGGATAAAGTAGATGTTGGTAAAAGTGCGGACAAAGTAGATGTTGGTAAAAGTGCGGATAAAGTAGAGGATGTTGGTAAAAGTGCGGATAAAGTAGAGGATGTTGGTAAAAGTGCGGATAAAGTAGATGTTGGTAAAAGTGCGGATAAAGTAGATGTTGGTAAAAGTGCGGATAAAGTAGATGTTGGTAAAAGTGCGGATAAAGTAGATGTTGGTAAAAGTGCGGATAAAGTAGATGTTGGTCATAGTGAGGATAAAGTAGATGTTGGTCATAGTGAGGATAAAGTAGAGTTTAGGAGCCCTGCTAAAGAGCTGAGTGCTAAGTACAGTGTAAAGAAGAAGGGAGTGAAGGGAGTGAAGGGGGAGAGGCGTGAACTGAGCACCAACCTGACGTACTGTTTAAGGACCAGTCGAGGCTCGCAACCCCGGGACAGGGTGGTCTGTACCAGCTCTAAGATAAGTGACGATGGAGGGATCTGGAAAGGGAGTTTAAAGAGAAAGGAGAAGGTATTGTACGGTAGTGAACTAAAGGAGAAGGTATTGTACGGTAGTGAACTAAAGGAGAAGGTATTGTACGGTAGTGAACGTGCTAGTTCCACACTGTAAAGTGCACTGCAAAGTGTGTCAGATCACAGATAACAGATTCCAAAGATAAACACTAGATTATACAGCAACACGTTGAGTTCCCATAAATTGAGGTTTGAAACAGACTGCAGGGACAAGAGACCGTGAAATAGCTTTTATACTTTCATAGTCAAATCAGTGGCGTAACGTTGCCTGTTGGCGCCCCCCCCCCCACCGCTGAAAAAGCGCCAAATGAAGCCTGTCTGTAACCATTATAGTAACTATCTGCGAGACGGTGCAAGTAAAACAAACACTTCTACCTCAGACTATTTGTCCATCAGAATCACAAAATGAGGGTCTAGTTACCCAGAATGGTATTAATATGTATCTGCTGCTATTTGTTGTTGCTGCGATCACTTTCATTCAGATATAATGTTACCTTATATGGTAGTGTTACTATGGTAACATTACCTTATATGGTGATGTTATATGCGTTTTATTGACTACTCTGTATCAGCTATATTGATTGTTTGTAATGCATCATTATTTAATATTTCTCATTCCGCAAAGTTATTTATCTGAATCTCTTTAACGGTGGTGAATAAAAACTATTCAAAGAACTATGAACGCACTATGGTTACTATAGTTACTATGGTTACTATAGTTACTATAGTTACTATGGTTACTATTAAACACCCACCTGATCCTGGCCAGCTATGTGGACCTCTCTAAAGATCTGCGTCTCCCCCCTTTTCGCTGTTATATTTATCATAGTAGTCCACACAGTCTCTCCTGTAATCTCCTCCTCTATACCAATATACAGCTGTCCTGGGAATGCAAATGTATGGTTACTATGGTTACTAAGGTTACTATGGTTACTCCTTCATACCAACATACAGCTGTCCTGGGAATGTATGGTTACTTTGGTTACTAAGGTCACTATAGTTACTCCTCTATACCAACATACAGCTGTCCTGGGAATGTATGGTTACTTTGGTTACTAAGGTCACTATAGTTACTCCTCTATACCAACATACAGCTGTCCTGGGAATGTATGGTTACTAAGGTTACTATGGCTACTCCTTTATACCAACGTCCAACATACAGCTGTCCACGGAATGGGGTATTTGGAGACAAAGAGAAATACAAGGATTGGGGAATTGGATAAACTAATTTAAAAACCATATGTAGTCCTGCAGAACGCCCATATGGTTTGCAGAAAGTAGACTAGAAAGTTAAAGAGAAAGTAGTTTATAAACTATATAAATACTAGATAGGTACCTTTGAGAGAGAATGTAGATTTGTGAGAGACAGGTTTAACAACGACAGGCGGAGAAGATAACGAGCCTCTAACTGATACAGTTAGATTAGTGTTGTTGTGAACCACACAGCCAGGCCACCAGTCAACACACATCTGAACATGAGGTGTTGTCAACATACTGTTCAAGTGAAATAAGTAAATCTAGAGAAATGTAATAACCTCGCAATAGCGATCAGGTTCACGCGCTAAGAGTGTAAGGTTAAAAGCTGCGCACTACATTTCTAAAGTTTTCATTTCTTTGAACAGTTTAGAAACGGCGTCTAAAAATTCACGGCCACTTAAAAATCGAATCACAAAATTCGCGGCAATTTTTTCCATCCACACCCTTTTGTAAAAAGTCAATATTGAAAGGTTAGGAATTGTTGTTTTTGCAGAAAAACGTGGATTTTGGAGAATGAGGAAGGCGGGTCCGTTAATCACACTACCACGGCAACTAAACAACTAGACGCGCGCAAGGGTTGCTTGCGGAGATGTGATGTATAGCCTGTAGTCAGTACATGCGCGGCGCGAGTGTTTTTTAATGTATTAGGCAATAAGCCCAACGAAACAACGGGCACAATTCTTGTTAATTTCGTCGTTTGAGAAATCCGAATATTTGTGAAATTATGAGTTACTGTACCGTGTGTTTAGAAAGAGGGTCCCTGGATAAGTGTATCTCTGCCTCCATACTCCAATCTTCTATCTCACTGTGGGGTACCAGTATACTCCTTATCTCACAGTCTGGCGGCCTAAACAGAGCAATCAATACTGGGGAGTATGGGGAGGAGAGGGGGGAGTACCAGTATACTCCTTATCTCACAGTCTGGCGGCCTAAACAGAGCAATCAATACTGGGGAGTATGGGGAGGAGAGGGGGGAGTACCAGTATACTCCTTATCTCACAGTCTGGCGGCCTAAACAGAGCAATCAATACTGGGGAGTATGGGGAGGAGAGGGGGGAGTACCAGTATACTCCTTATCTCACAGTCTGGCGGCCTAAACAGAGCAATCAATACTGGGGAGTATGGGGAGGAGAGGGGGGAGTACCAGTATACTCCTTATCTCACAGTCTGGCGGCCTAAACAGAGCAATCAATACTGGGGAGTATGGGGAGGAGAGGGGGGAGTACCAGTATACTCCTTATCTCACAGTCTGGCGGCCTAAACAGAGCAATCAATACTGGGGAGTATGGGGAGGAGAGGGGGGAGTACCAGTATACTCCTTATCTCACAGTCTGGCGGCCTAAACAGAGCAATCAATACTGGGGAGTATGGGGAGGAGAGGGGGGAGTACCAGTATACTCCTTATCTCACAGTCTGGCGGCCTAAACAGAGCAATCAATACTGGGGAGTATGGGGAGGAGAGGGGGGAGTACCAGTATACTCCTTATCTCACAGTCTGGCGGCCTAAACAGAGCAATCAATACTGGGGAGTATGGGGAGGAGAGGGGGGAGTACCAGTATACTCCTTATCTCACAGTCTGGCGGCCTAAACAGAGCAATCAATACTGGGGAGTATGGGGAGGGAGGGGGGAGTACCAGTATACTCCTTATCTCACAGTCTGGCGGCCTAAACAGAGCAATCAATACTGGGGAGTATGGGGAGGAGAGGGGGGAGTACCAGTATACTCCTTATCTCACAGTCTGGCGGCCTAAACAGAGCAATCAATACTGGGGAGTATCGGGGAGGAGAGGGGGGAGTACCAGTATACTCCTTATCTCACAGTCTGGCGGCCTAAACAGAGCAATCAATACTGGGGAGTATGGGGAGGAGAGGGGGGAGTACCAGTATACTCCTTATCTCACAGTCTGGCGGCCTAAACAGAGCAATCAATACTGGGGAGTATGGGGAGGAGAGGGGGGAGTACCAGTATACTCCTTATCTCACAGTCTGGCGGCCTAAACAGAGCAATCAATACTGGGGAGTATGGGGAGGAGAGGGGGGAGTACCAGTATACTCCTTATCTCACAGTCTGGCGGCCTAAACAGAGCAATCAATACTGGGGAGTATGGGGAGGAGAGGGGGGAGTACCAGTATACTCCTTATCTTACAGTCTGGCGGCCTAAACAGAGCAATCAATACTGGGGAGTATGGGGAGGAGAGGGGGGAGTACCAGTATACTCCTTATCTTACAGTCTGGCGGCCTAAACAGAGCAATCAATACTGGGGAGTATGGGGAGGAGAGGGGGGAGTACCAGTATACTCCTTATCTCACAGTCTGGCGGCCTAAACAGAGCAATCAATACTGGGGAGTATGGGGAGGAGAGGGGGGAGTACCAGTATACTCCTTATCTCACAGTCTGGCGGCCTAAACAGAGCAATCAATACTGGGGAGTATGGGGAGGAGAGGGGGGAGTACCAGTATACTCCTTATCTCACAGTCTGGCGGCCTAAACAGAGCAATCAATACTGGGGAGTATGGGGAGGAGAGGGGGGAGTACCAGTATACTCCTTATCTCACAGTCTGGCGGCCTAAACAGAGCAATCAATACTGGGGAGTATGGGGAGGAGAGGGGGGAGTACCAGTATACTCCTTATCTCACAGTCTGGCGGCCTAAACAGAGCAATCAATACTGGGGAGTATGGGGAGGAGAGGGGGGAGTACCAGTATACTCCTTATCTCACAGTCTGGCGGCCTAAACAGAGCAATCAATACTGGGGAGTATGGGGAGGAGAAGGGGGAGTACCAGTATACTCCTTATCTCACAGTCTGGCGGCCTAAACAGAGCAATCAATACTGGGGAGTATGGGGAGGAGAGGGGGGAGTACCAGTATACTCCTTATCTCACAGTCTGGCGGCCTAAACAGAGCAATCAATACTGGGGAGTATGGGGAGGAGAGGGGGGAGTACCAGTATACTCCTTATCTCACAGTCTGGCAGCCTAAACAGAGCAATCAATACTGGGGAGTATGGGGAGGAGAGGGGGGAGTACCAGTATACTCCTTATCTCACAGTCTGGCGGCCTAAACAGAGCAATCAATACTGGGGAGTATGGGGAGGAGAGGGGGGAGTACCAGTATACTCCTTATCTCACAGTCTGGCGGCCTAAACAGAGCAATCAATACTGGGGAGTATGGGGAGGAGAGGGGGGAGTACCAGTATACTCCTTATCTCACAGTCTGGCGGCCTAAACAGAGCAATCAATACTGGGGAGTATGGGGAGGAGAGGGGGGAGTACCAGTATACTCCTTATCTCACAGTCTGGCGGCCTAAACAGAGCAATCAATACTGGGGAGTATGGGGAGGAGAGGGGGGAGTACCAGTATACTCCTTATCTCACAGTCTGGCGGCCTAAACAGAGCAATCAATACTGGGGAGTATGGGGAGGGGAGGGGGGAGTACCAGTATACTCCTTATCTCACAGTCTGGCGGCCTAAACAGAGCAATCAATACTGGGGAGTATGGGGAGGAGAGGGGGGAGTACCAGTATACTCCTTATCTCACAGTCTGGCGGCCTAAACAGAGCAATCAATACTGGGGAGTATGGGGAGGAGAGGGGGGAGTACCAGTATACTCCTTATCTCACAGTCTGGCGGCCTAAACAGAGCAATCAATACTGGGGAGTATGGGGAGGAGAGGGGGGAGTACCAGTATACTCCTTATCTCACAGTCTGGCGGCCTAAACAGAGCAATCAATACTGGGGAGTATGGGGAGGAGAGGGGGGAGTACCAGTATACTCCTTATCTCACAGTCTGGCGGCCTAAACAGAGCAATCAATACTGGGGAGTATGGGGAGGAGAGGGGGGAGTACCAGTATACTCCTTATCTCACAGTCTGGCGGCCTAAACAGAGCAATCAATACTGGGGAGTATGGGGAGGAGAGGGGGGAGTACCAGTATACTCCTTATCTCACAGTCTGGCGGCCTAAACAGAGCAATCAATACTGGGGAGTATGGGGAGGAGAGGGGGGAGTACCAGTATACTCCTTATCTCACAGTCTGGCGGCCTAAACAGAGCAATCAATACTGGGGAGTATGGGGAGGAGAGGGGGGGAGTACCAGTATACTCCTTATCTCACAGTCTGGCGGCCTAAACAGAGCAATCAATACTGGGGAGTATGGGGAGGAGAGGGGGGAGTACCAGTATACTCCTTATCTCACAGTCTGGCGGCCTAAACAGAGCAATCAATACTGGGGAGTATGGGGAGGAGAGGGGGGAGTACCAGTATACTCCTTATCTCACAGTCTGGCGGCCTAAACAGAGCAATCAATACTGGGGAGTATGGGGAGGAGAGGGGGGAGTACCAGTATACTCCTTATCTCACAGTCTGGCGGCCTAAACAGAGCAATCAATACTGGGGAGTATGGGGAGGAGAGGGGGGAGTACCAGTATACTCCTTATCTCACAGTCTGGCGGCCTAAACAGAGCAATCAATACTGGGGAGTATGGGGAGGAGAGGGGGGAGTACCAGTATACTCCTTATCTCACAGTCTGGCGGCCTAAACAGAGCAATCAATACTGGGGAGTATGGGGAGGAGAGGGGGGAGTACCAGTATACTCCTTATCTCACAGTCTGGCGGCCTAAACAGAGCAATCAATACTGGGGAGTATGGGGAGGAGAGGGGGGAGTACCAGTATACTCCTTATCTCACAGTCTGGCGGCCTAAACAGAGCAATCAATACTGGGGAGTATGGGGAGGAGAGGGGGGAGTACCAGTATACTCCTTATCTCACAGTCTGGCGGCCTAAACAGAGCAATCAATACTGGGGAGTATGGGGAGGAGAGGGGGGAGTACCAGTATACTCCTTATCTCACAGTCTGGCGGCCTAAACAGAGCAATCAATACTGGGGAGTATGGGGAGGAGAGGGGGGAGTACCAGTATACTCCTTATCTCACAGTCTGGCGGCCTAAACAGAGCAATCAATACTGGGGAGTATGGGGAGGAGAGGGGGGAGTACCAGTATACTCCTTATCTCACAGTCTGGCGGCCTAAACAGAGCAATCAATACTGGGGAGTATGGGGAGGAGAGGGGGGAGTACCAGTATACTCCTTATCTCACAGTCTGGCGGCCTAAACAGAGCAATCAATACTGGGGAGTATGGGGAGGAGAGGGGGGAGTACCAGTATACTCCTTATCTCACAGTCTGGCGGCCTAAACAGAGCAATCAATACTGGGGAGTATGGGGAGGAGAGGGGGGAGTACCAGTATACTCCTTATCTCACAGTCTGGCGGCCTAAACAGAGCAATCAATACTGGGGAGTATGGGGAGGAGAGGGGGGAGTACCAGTATACTCCTTATCTCACAGTCTGGCGGCCTAAACAGAGCAATCAATACTGGGGAGTATGGGGAGGAGAGGGGGGAGTACCAGTATACTCCTTATCTCACAGTCTGGCGGCCTAAACAGAGCAATCAATACTGGGGAGTATGGGGAGGAGAGGGGGGAGTACCAGTATACTCCTTATCTCACAGTCTGGCGGCCTAAACAGAGCAATCAATACTGGGGAGTATGGGGAGGAGAGGGGGGGGGTACCAGTATACTCCTTATCTCACAGTCTGGCGGCCTAAACAGAGCAATCAATACTGGGGAGTATGGGGAGGAGAGGGGGGAGTACCAGTATACTCCTTATCTCACAGTCTGGCGGCCTAAACAGAGCAATCAATACTGGGGAGTATGGGGAGGAGAGGGGGGAGTACCAGTATACTCCTTATCTCACAGTCTGGCGGCCTAAACAGAGCAATCAATACTGGGGAGTATGGGGAGGAGAGGGGGGAGTACCAGTATACTCCTTATCTCACAGTCTGG